GCCTGCCTCCTGCGTGCGACGACGACGACGAGAAGGTCTCTGGCCTGCCTCGCCTTGGGCTGCCCTGCCCCCGGCCCTCTTCGACTCGCCTCGCCTCGCCTCGACTCGAGGGCGGCCTGTGCTCGCCCGCCCGCCCGCCCGCCTGGCCTGCTGGCCTGATCCGAGCGGTGCGGGCGCAGGCCAGCTGTACGTGTTGAGCGTACGCAAGCTAAGCTGCTCGAGTTTCGCGCGGTCGGTCGGTCGGGCGGCTTGGTGAGTGCCGTACTTTGTGTGGTGCGGGCGCCGGTCAGGCCAGGCCAGGTCAGGCCAGGCCGCTGGAAGGTGATCAAACCACCCCTCTCGGCGCCTCGCTCACTCCGTGCCGCACGTCCGATTCGCGGAGGCCCAAAAACGCCGCGTCGATTTGGCGTCGACACAGCAGGAAGAAAAAGCTCGGACCACCATCTGAGCCCAGCGCCCGCCAGCCAGCCAGCCAGCCAGCCAGCCAGCTCGAAGCCGCTCTCCGATCAGTCGAGGTCCGCGGCCGCCCTGGCTGGGCTGCGCATGCAGCTTGCTGGTCGGCTTGTCTGACTCTGGCTCCGTCGGCCCGAGCGTCGGGCGGCTGGGCTCATTCTTTCGGCCGGCATGTCGCTGCCGGCCTCCTCCTCCTCCTCTATCCCTGCCTCCTCCCACGCCCTGATCCCGAGCAGCTTTGCCACACACTATCTCCTTGATCGCTATCGCTACCTACTCCCTCTGATCCTCCGCTGTCACGGTAACGTGGTCGCAGTGATCGCTGGGCTGGCCTGCCTGCAAGGCGGGCAAAGTGATTCGACCGCCCGACTGGCGACCTGCGAGGTATAGATGGTCTTGGTACAAGACGGGGCTCCGGTCCGACAGCCGGCTCGCCCTCACGCCTGCGCGTTCCACTGGACGAGCTCGTCGAGCGTCACGCCGGACCCGCCAAAGATGTCGAGAGCGCTGCCAAAGGTCAGGTCGACCTTGCCGTTCGACAGCCGGTCGACGAGCTCGAGGTCTCCGATGTCTGCGCAGCGAGACGGTCAGGATCGAGGGACAGCGGTCAACAAGCGTCGCGTAGCTGATTTCCAGTCGGTAGCGGAACTCACGTCGGGCACCGCCAGCATAGGTCGTCGGGATGGTGCACCATTCGCCTAGCCCTGCGCGGAGTGGATGGTGAAAAGCCTCGGACGTCAGACACAAAGTCACACTCCGACTGACGTCGGCATCTCAGGGCCACACACTCACTCTGCACCAGCTCCTGATCGATCCCCTGGCAGAGGCCCTCGACATCGGCGGCGTGGATGAGGAACTCGCCGCAGTACTCGGACAGGAGATCGAGCGACTCCTTGTTGACCTCCATGTCGGTCATGTCCTGCCATCGGTTCATGGCGACGATCCACTTGTCCCCTCTCCGGCGGCAGCTGACGTCGACCACGAGGTTCTCCTTGCCGACCCGATCCCGCAGCTCCTGCAGCCGTGGCAGCGAGAACTTGCAAGAGGGGAACAGATACGACGTGACGATGACCTGCGGAGCGACGAGAGGGGTCAAGGTGAGGGGAGGGCAAGGGAAGGCGGCGATGGTCAGCGCACGCAAGTCATCATGGTGGCTGGCGGTGCACGGCCAGCTGTATGACGATCGACCCGCACCTTTTCCGCGCCCTTGTCGATCCACTCGGCGGCGTTGTCGCCCGTGATGCCGCCGCCGACATGGAGGCCGCGCGGCCAGGCCTGGAGCGCCGATGCGGCGGCCTCGTCGTTTCTGGGACCGAGCTTGATGACATGCCCACCGGTGAGGTTGTGCTTGCGGTACAGCTCTGCAAAGTGGGCCGGCGACTGCTCTGCGACGAAGTTGGTCCTCAGCTTGCTCTGCTCGCCGGCCACCTCGCGGTCCTGGTCGGTGAGGGTGCCTCCGACAATCTGCTTGACGACGCCCTCGTGTAGGTCGATGCAGGGGCGAAAGACGCTCCTGCGGCGGTCCCGAGTGGTTGTCGCTGCTGCTGCCATCGTCGTTGCTGTTGGCCTGACTGTCAGTCGGGTGAGCAATGGCTGCTATCGAGGCCTGGTGTGCTGGTGGGTCGTGAGCAAGGAGCGTAGAGTGGAAGAGCAGGCCTGTTCCCTCTTCCTCGCTTTCGCCGCCTCCGAGTCCCGAGTCGAGCCGGTCAGAGTGGAGGGGCCCGAGCTGCTGGTTTTCTTCGCGCTGCTCTTCGGCCAACTTTTGCCGGCCAGGCGGCCTCGGCGTACGGCCATCTCTGCCACGTTGCCCTCTCTCTATCTTCCGCCGGATCGGCTTCGACCTCGACCTCAGCGACGACCCCACCTCTCCTCCACCACCAAGCCTTACAGACCGAGCACCAAGACTCGCCAGCGGCATGCAGGACCGTTGAAGACACAGCCCTTTTGCATTAGCCAGCTGCAAACGACTCTCGACGTCCTTGTCCGACAGCCTTAAAACGGACTGCACCTGGGTGAGCTCGACCCCCCTTTCCCCCAGGTCGGGCCACCATCCCCCTTCTCCATCGAGCACCTGCTCACCCGTGATATCGGCCCATGATCCGCACCGCAACCCGTCGGCTCGCCGCTTCCAGCAAAATGTCAAGCCCCTCCTCGTCGTCCTCTCTCTCCGCCCCGCGCCTCACGGCGTCCGCGCCCACGTCGGATCTGACGCCCGCCTACTACCGTACCACGCCGCCTCCTCACTGGACGAACGTGGCGAAGCCCAAGTCGGAAGGCCAGAAGCTCGACACATCGCGGCGGGTCTTCAAGTCGCCGTGGGATTCGGCGGCGGACAACACCTTCCTCACCTTCTTGCGTGGGCGGCTGTTCGACTGGGACGAGGTGCCGCTGCCGCCAAAGACGGCCAGCAAGTCTGGCGACCCGGTGCTGCCCCACGTCCTCAAGCCCAAGTGGACCGTCGCGGCTGACGAGTCTGGCAAACAGTCGCCGTCGTCGTCGCCGTCGGGGGACAGCAAGGACACCGGCGTGACGTTCACCTGGCTCGGTCACGCCGCGGTCCACCTCCAGATCCCAGTCGGCAGCGGCAAGACGGTATCCGTCCTGTGCGACCCGGTCCTCTCGAAACGATGCTCACCCTTTCAGTGGCTCGGGCCGGCGAGGTACACCGAGAGCCCGACGTCGGTCGAGGAAATGATCGAGGCGACCATCAGCGGCGGCCACAAGGCGTGGCCCGACGTCGTCGTCTTGAGCCAGTGAGCAGGCGTCCGTGGCATGTTTGGTGCGTCGCTTTGCTACCCTCGCTGACCTCTTTCTTGCCTCCTCTGCTTCTCTGAACGACCCTCCCCTGCAGCAACCACTACGACCACCTCGACTACGACACCATTGCCAAGCTGCTGAACCCTCCGGCTTCGTCTGGCCTGAAGCCCCCGCACGTCTTCTGCACGCTCGGCAACCGTTCGTGGTTCGAGGACAACTTCAAGCTGTCCTCATCGCAGGTGACCGAGTGCGACTGGTGGCAGCAGTCTGTCGTGTCCCTCGACGGTGCCGAGTCGCTTCGCCTGACCTGCGTCCCCGCACAGCACTTTTCGGGCCGAGGCATTCTGGATCGCAACCGCACCCTGTGGGCCGGATGGACGTTCGAGGCGCTCGGTGGAGAGTCGGCGGGAGCCAAGGTCTACTTTGCCGGCGACACCGGCTATCGTACCGTTCCGCGCGGCATGGGTCGCGAGCAGGAAGGCAGCCTTCCTACCTGCCCCGCCTTCAAGGAGATCGGCGACCTCCTGGGCCCCTTTGACCTCTCCCTCATCCCGATCGGCGCCTACCTGCCGCGCTACGTCATGTCGACGGTCCACGTCGCTCCTCAGGATTCGGTGCTCGTGCACCGCGACGTCAAGAGCAGGAAGAGCTTCGGCATCCACTGGGGCAGCTTCCGCCTCACGCCCGAGGACGTCAACGAGCCGCCCAAGCTGCTGGTCGACGAGGCCAAGAAGGCCGGCCTCGATCCGGAAGAGTTTGGCACGGTCAAGATCGGCGAGAGCGTGCTCGTCGAGGTCCGCCGCGACGCTGCTCCCGTCCAGGCTCAGGCGCAGGCGCAGGCACAGGCGCAGGCACAGGAGGAGCGGCCCCAGGCCGTCGGCGAGGGCGAGCCGCTGCCCGAGTCCAAGCTCGGGACCAAGGCCCACTGGGACTCGGTCTACGAGCGCGAGGTCAACACGTTCCAGGAGATTGGCGAGGAGGGTGAGGTGTGGTTCGGCGAGGACTCGGTGATGCGCATGATCCGCCACCTGGAGAAGCACTACACCGACGAGGATATCGTCGCGCAGAGGGAAGAGCAGGGCGCCTCTGCCCCCACCGTCCTCGACCTGGGCACGGGCAATGGGCACCTGCTTTTCGAGATGCTCGAGTCGTCTGCGGATCTCGAAGAGGTGCTCGACCCGGAGAGAATGGTGGGCGTCGACTACTCGGACGCATCGATCCAGCTGGCCAAGGCCGTGGGCGAGAAGCGCGGCGGCGACTGCCCCAGTGTGCGCTTCCGATCTGCCGATCTGATGGACGCGGTCCAGGTCGAGCAGCTGGTTCAGATGCCCAAGGGCGAGCTCGGGAGCGACGAGGCGGGCTGGGACCTGGTCTGCGACAAGGGCACGCTCGACGCCATCGCGCTCTCGTCGCAGCCGATCGAGGGCCAGACGCCCATCCAGCTCTACACGCGCGCAGTCGAGAAGCTGGTCAAGCCGCCCAAGGGCGACGTTAATGGCGGCATCTTCCTCATCACCAGCTGCAACTTTACCGAGGCCGAGCTGGTGGAGCGCTTCACGCATGCTGGTGAGTCTGGGCTCGCTCTGGCCGCAGGCCCAAGCACGTACGTTGACCTTGCTTGCCCGAGCATCCCTCCCTTTCCCGCCAGGCTTCGAGGTTGATACCGTCATCCCGACGCCATCCTTCACTTTCGTGAGTGTGCTCTTGGCGAGCGAGAGCGCTGGTCTTTCTCCGTGCCGCCAGCTGATCGTCTGCTTCCCGGCGCCTTGTCTCGCTCGATCGAAACCAGGGCGGCGCCAAGGGCTCTTCGACGACCTCGATCGCCTTCCGGCGCATCTAGCCCTACGGGATCCTCGACTGCCCTCTGCCTGCCCCAGCCCGCCTTGTAAACCTGCTCTGCTGCTGCTCTGCTGCTGCTCTGCTGCTGCTCTGCTGCTGCTCTGCTGCTGCTCTGCCCTGCTAGATACCGATGCTATGACCATACCAGGGTGCCCGCCTGCTTGTCTGCTTGCCTGCCTTGTCCCCACGTGGCCAGCGTCGAGAAAGGATCCGGAAGTCGGAGGTGCAAGGGTGGCTGGCCAGCCAGTTTGGGCGCTTCTCACGCGAGATGGGGCTGGCCCTGGCCGCCCGAGTCGCAGCCCGGAGCTTAGCCGAGCAAAGCAGAGAGCCTAAAAGCCGGCCACTGTTCGGGACAAGGGCAGGCAGGGACTGGGCCTGGCTTCGACTCTGGATTGGACCGGGCCTGCATAACGCCGGGACGCTTCTTCTCAACCCCGGGGGCTCGGCGCTGCTTCCCCTATGGCCCTCCCGCATCCTCCCTTCTCCGCACCACCACCAGCTCCTCCTCCTCCTCCTTCTAGCGTCTCGACCGCATCCGCCATCTTCCCCTCCTGCTGCCCGTTCAACCACACAGCAGCTCACCTGCCACCTCAATCACAACCCCGATACCATGTTCGACCCACCTTCCGAGGCCATCGCGGCCATTGCTCGCGGCGAGTTTGTTGTCGTGCTCGACGACGAGGACCGGGAGAACGAGGGCGACCTCATCATCGCGGCGTCCGAGTGCACCACCGAGAAGATGGCGTGGTTCATCAAGCACACGTCCGGCTTTATCTGCATCTCGCTCACGCCCGAGCGGATAGAGGAGCTCGAGATCCCCATGATGGTGCCCCGCAACAACGAAAAAAACAAGACGGCCTACACCGTCACCGTCGACTACAAGTGGGGCACCACGACGGGCATCTCGGCCCACGACCGGGCGCTCACGTCGCGGAAGCTGGCGCAGAGCCAAGAGGGGGAGCGCGAGGGCCAGCACGGCACAAGGGGATACGTGCACAAGGACGACTTCACCAGGCCGGGACACGTCTGCCCGCTGCGATACACCGAGGGCGGCGTCCGCGTTCGCAAGGGCCACACCGAGGCCAGCGTCGGTGAGTGCGTCGTAGCTCGAGCTGAGCTTGTGTGCTCGAGGCAGCTCGCCGCAGACGGCTGTGCTCACTCGGTTTCGTCCTGCCCTTCTCTGCTGTCCTTGCTCGCCTCGCAGATCTCTGCAAGGCCGCCAAGCTTCCACCCGCAGGCCTGCTGTGCGAGCTGGTGGACCCCGACGACCCGCTGGGCGGCATCGCATCGCGCGATGCCTGCCTCAAGTTTGCCAAGGAGCACAACCTCAAGATTACGACCATCGAGCTGCTCAAAAAGTACCGCGAGGAGCAAGAGGGGCCGCTGCCGCCGCAGCTGCAGGCCAAGCTGCAGAGCCAGCAGGACCAGGACGAGTTCCGCGGCGTGCACGTCGACGGCCAGGAGGTCGTTGGGCCACAGGCATAGGCGGCGGCGGCGGCGGCGGCGGCAGCGGCAGCAGCAGTGCCACCGTTCCCCTGTTCCCCTGTTCCCCTGTTCCCCTGTTCCCCTGCCTCCCCCTCACCCACACTCACACCTCCACCAGACCGGCCTTCCGCGCCTCGAATCTAGACGTACCTGTCCCTGTGGTGACACAATGGAGCGCACATGTTATGAGCTTGGACCAGCGCTCGTACAGCTACGACCAGCTGTAAATCGGATGAGACTCCCCATCGCAGAGGCACTAGGATGCCGGCGATGCGGTGGCGGTAGCGGTGGTGGCTAGCCCGTGTATGCAAGCTGGTGCAGGTTGGCGGCTCCGAGTGCGCACGGGTCGATCACGCCGCGGCGAGCACGCCGAAAAATCGAGCGCAGCGCCGAATTCGTGGACCTGCCAGGCCTGGGTCTGGCCTGTCTTGCCCGCTTCTTCTTTCTTCCAAAAAATGCCTGCAGGGCGCGAAGGCTTTCCTGCGAGGCGAGGCGAGGCGGGGCGGGGCCAGCCAGGGCGTGCGTGCGTGCGTTGCGTTGTGTTGCGCGCGAAAAATGCGGCAAAGGGGCGAGCGGGCGAGCGGGTGAGAGAAGCCCAGAGCGAGCGAGCCAGCCAGCCAGGTGTTGGTTGCAGAGAGTCCGAGCGAGGCTGGCCTGGCCTGGCTGGCGTTGGCTTGGCTTGGCTTCTCGTTTCTTCTCCGCTCGACCCTCCTCGCGCACCCTTCACCTCCACGAGCCTCGCCGCAGCCCACCACCATCACTACCGCTGCACGCCAATCCTTTCTACCAGCGCCATCGATCGACTACGCACCGACGTGACCTGCGCATCGCCATACCTTTCTTCTCGTCCGCGACCGCCCCCCGATACTTCATCCCAACCGCACCGCGCTGAACCCTTAGCCGGCGCAGCCTATATCCGAGCTCCACCATGTCGGCGCCCATCTTTGCCCAAGAGGTGAGTGCGCGCGCGCGGGCCTCAACCACAAGTTGCTGGGGTGAATTGCGCGCCCAGAAGGCCACTGACCGTCTCTGTCTCTCGCTCTCGCTCTCACTTCGCTTGCTTCGCTTTCGCTGCCGCCGTCGCCGCTGCCGCCACTGTCGCCGCTCCGCACCGCAGGCGACACAAGAGCGTGCCGAGAATGCGCGCCTCTCGTCGTTTGTCGGCGCGCTAGCGCTGGGTGACCTGGTCAAGTCGACGCTGGGGCCAAAGGGGATGAACAAGATCCTGCAGTCGGTCGGGTCCAACGACATTGTCGTGACCAACGACGGCGCGACGATCCTGCGCTCGATCCACCTCGACAATGCGGCGGCCAAGATCCTCGTCAACATCTCCAAGGTGCAGGACGACGAGGTGGGCGACGGCACCACGTCGGTGTGCGTGCTGGCCGCCGAGCTGCTGCGCGAGGCCGAGAAGCTCATCGAGATGCGCATCCACCCGCAGACGATTGTCGAGGGCTACCGCATCGCCAGCGCCGCCGCGCTACGCGCCCTCGACGACGCCGCCGACGACCACGGCAGCGACCCGGCCGCCTTCCGCGAGGACCTGACCAACATTGCGCGCACCACGCTCTCGTCCAAGGTGCTCTCGGCCGACAAGGACTACTTTGCCAAGCTCGCCGTCGACGCCGTCCTCCGCCTCAAGGGCTCGACCAACCTCGAAAACATCCAGATCATCAAAAAGGCCGGCGGCAAGCTCACCGACTCGTACCTCGACGAGGGCTTCATCCTCGACAAAAAGATTGGCACAAACTGCCCCAAGCGCATCGAAAACGCCCGCATCCTCGTCGGCAACACGTCGATGGACACGGACAAGATCAAGGTGTTTGGCGCCCGCGTCCGCGTCGAGGGGACGCGAGAGCTGGCCGAAATGGAGCGCGCCGAGCGCGAAAAGATGAAGGCCAAGGTGGAAAAGATCAAGGCGCACGGCATCACGTGCTTTGTCAACCGCCAGCTCATCTACAACTACCCCGAGAGCCTCCTCGCCGACGCCGGCATCATGTCGATCGAGCACGCCGACTTTGAGGGCGTCGAGCGCCTCGCCCTCGTCACGGGCGGCGAGATTGCCTCGACCTTTGACCGGCCGGACCTCGTCAAGCTCGGCAAGTGCGACGTCATCGAGGAAATCATGATTGGAGAGGACAAGGTGAGCTGGCCACATGCGCGCCTCCCCGACCGCCGGTCGCCCTTTGCGGTCTTTCTGTCATGCATCTCCAGCCTGCGCGGCACGCGTGCTGGACGGCGGGGCAGCTGCATCCGGACCTGTCTACTGACGCATCTTCCCTCTGCCCACCGCCTCCCTCCACCGCTCGGCACGGCCCCCCTTTTTGACCCTCGCGCCAGCTCATCAAGTTTTCGGGCGTCGCGGCCGGCGAGGCGTGCACCGTGGTGCTGCGCGGCGCAACGACCCAGATGCTCGACGAGGCCGAGCGGTCGCTGCACGACGCCCTCTCGGTGCTGTCGCAGACGGTCAAGGAGACAAAGGTGCTCCTCGGCGGCGGGTGCGCAGAGATGGGCATGTCCAAGGTCGTCGACGAGGCGGCGCGCCACACGCCCGGCAAAAAGGCCATCGCCACCGAGTCCTTCGCCCGCGCCCTCCGACAGCTCCCCACCATCCTCGCCGACAACGCTGGCCTCGACTCGAGCGACCTCGTCGCCCGCCTCCGCGCCGCCCACCAGAACGGCGACAGGACCGCCGGTCTCGACCTCGACAACAACTGCATCGCCGACATGAAGAAAAAGGGCGTCACCGAGAGCTACAAGCTCAAGAAGCAGGTCGTCATCAGCGCCAGCGAGGCCGCAGAGATGATCCTCCGGGTCGACGACATCCTCAAGTGCGCGCCCCGGAGGAGGGAGGCGCATTGATCGCGCCACGGCTCGGTCAGTTGGGCAACGCTTGGGTCGCTGTACAGTGCACAGAGGGAGGGGCCGGAGGAGGGAAGGAGACCTCCGCCCCCGAATGGCAGCAGCTGTGATCTCGCTACGGAGCTGCGTGCGGGCCGATTCCTCCGACCGACTGGTGGCATCGACGGACATGGGACGATTGTGAGGCTGATTTCGTGGCCGGTGCTGACGAGGCGCTGCTGCGGACGTTGCTGCTGCTGCTGCTGTCGTCAATGTCGGCGCCGTTTTGGCGCTGCTTTGTTGCGCTTGCGTTCGGACCTGTCTGTTTTTTGTTTTGCTCGGCTTGCTTGTTGCTTTTGTGCGCATCCCCTGCCGCTGCCACCGCGCCTCGATCGCTCGGCCTAATGCTGCTCCGCGGCGTGGAGGCGCCTCTTGAGATCGCTGACGGCGGTGGCCGTCTTTTTGCTCCACTCTGCAAGCTGCTGACCACGCTCGGCCGTCTCCCTCTTGAGCTGGCTGACCTCGTCGCTCAGCTTCCTGTTCTGCTCCTCGAGCTCGATGAGCCTCTCGATCAGCTCCTCGCGGCTCATGGCGTGGATCGAGGGCCTCTTCTGCTGCTGCTGCTGCTGCTGCGTCTGGTGCTGCTGAGGGCTTGCAGGCGTCGGAGACGTGCGGGCGTCGGTCGCCTCCTCGACGTGCGCAGCCGGGGCAGTAGTGCCGGCCAGGTCAGCTGCGCCTTCCGCGGGAGCACTGGTGGGCTCAGCGTGTGCCTCCAGCTGGCGGTTGCACTGGGCGACAATCTTGGCCGACTCCTCGTGCTACAGGCGGTTGAGAGCGCAGGTGGAAAGGAGAGACGACGAAGCTCAGAGACGGGCGAAGGTGGGGCCGCACTGCAGTCTACGCATGGCTACTCACGATGGCCGCAAGCTCTTCGAGCTCCTTTCCATTAGCTTCCGGCACAGTGGTGCTCTGCTCGAGATGGGTCGGGACCGCCAGAGGCGTGAGATGGCCGTCGTCTGCTGCGGACGGCTCGACATCGGTGTGCCTGGCGGGGCTCTGGGCTCGCACCGAGGTAGGCGTGGCTGCCATCGGCGACGTCGTGTCGAGGGAAGGCGCATCTGCCTGCACAGGTCCAGGCTGACGGTCCGACGGCTCGAACGTCTGCTGCGGCGAAGCGGCCTCCGGACCGTCTCCTGAGTCGGACCAGCCGCTCGGGCAGGCCACGGCCTCGTCGATGAACTCGGAAAAGTTGTCGGGTTGCGAGTCGTCCCTCGGGGCGTCGTGCTGCTCCGACAGCGTCATGGGGCGCGGAGGCGTCGGCTCTCGTGCTTTCCAGCCCGGCGATTCAGGGGGTGGTCCGCCGCTCTTGACGGCCCAGATGGATGCCGAGCTGCTCCGGTCCTCGGTCGACGGCAGGATGGCCGACTTGGTGGCTGTCGGGCTCTTGATCATCGTCTCGGCTGGCGACTGCTGACGGCCGGACTGGGCGGGAGGCGGGGAAACGGCTCGCCGAAACTGATTGGGCGGAGAGAAGGGGGGCTCCGACGAACGCTGCGCCGAGCCGTAGCGTTCAGCGTGCTGCAGTGCCCTTTCGTGCTGGAAGGCCGCGGCCTGCTGCATCTCGATCTCCCTCCTGGTCCTCAGCAGGGCAACCTGGTCGAGGACCCTCTCGATCTGGGCACGGGGCTCTTCCTCGCCACGCAGGATGCTCGGCTGGGCGGCCAGGTGGTAGTAGAGGTCGCTCGAGGAGAAGGGCGAGGAGGCCAGCTTCTGGGTGAGCTCCTCGAGCTCCGGGCTGAGCATTATGGGCTGCGGGCTAGGCCTGGTGGGCTGCGCGACGTAGTGCGTCTGGGGTTCCGAGGACTGGGCTCGGAGGCGTGCAATGTACTGCTCCTCTTCGTAGCTGCTGTAGCCGCCCGTCATGGCGATGCCGACGCCCAGCTCGGCCTCGAAGTTGCTCGCGCCGTGCATGCCAGGATCATCGTTGTAGCCAGCGGCATGAGGCGAGGCGTACCTGGCAGTGCGAGGCTCTTCGGACGCGGGGGGGAATGGATCCTGCCTCGGCGCTGCGGGCTGTCCCCAGCGGTTGCGCGGCAGCTGGATGCTGTTGGTGGATGTGGCGGCCCCGCGTGTCGACATAAACGAGCCTCCACCGCCGCCACCGCCCCATGCGCCGCCCTGCTGCCAATCGCCCTGGTCGTAATGGCCCTGCATGGTCGAAGAATGGGGTGTGGCGGGTAGCTAAGGGATGCTATGGCCCAGGTGAGGGGATAAGCAGGTGGATGGGGGGCGGGAACGAAGGAGGAAACGATGGGGTGGCGCTGGAAGGGGCTAGAAAAGGGCCGGTCGGGGCGCGCGCGCGCGCGCAGGAGGGGCAAGAGGGAAAAAAGGGCAGCGCTGCCCGGGCTGGGGCTTGCCATCGCTGAGCGGCCAGCTGAGGCAGGCCAGCAGAGTGGCCGGCCGGCGAGACTCGCCTGAAGCTCGCAACTTGGCCCGAACGCGGGCCTGCCTAGCCTGCCTCTGCTAGCCAGCCTGGTAGCCAGCCTGCCGTCGAGCGCGTTTTATCTGCGCCTGAAACGTGCGCCCGGTTAGCCAGCAGGTCAGCCAGCCCGCCCGCCTGCCTGAAACTTGGGCTCGGGGCGTGGTGCGGTCCCACGCCTGCGCGGGTGGGGCGTAGCGCACCGGAGATCGAGCAGCTGCGAAATGAGCTGCCAGCGGCGGCCGTGGCAGCAGCAGCAGCGGCAGATCGAGTCAGGCAGGCAGTCGGTCAGGCAGCAAAGCGGCCTCCGCCAGGACACGGAGCGGGCCCATGCCGCCCCGCCAGGATCCGAGACGACGCCCGCGCCATCTGTTGGCCAGAGCATGTGGCGATGCTGCGCGCCATCCCTGTGGCACCAGGCTGCGGATGCGCACTCTCTCTCTCTCTGATTCGGATCTACACGAAAAGGACAACATGCTCGGGTCGTCGCCATGGCGATTGCATCGAGCGGGCGAGGGAGCTACGCGTACATGGTCCTGCCGCGCTGCCAGCTAGTCGCGCTCGGCGAGCCTCTCGAGGATGACATTGATCTCGTCCTCGTCGAGCGTCCTGAACCGCCTCTGCTGGAGCGCCTCCTTGGAGTCCTCTGCCGCCGCCAGCGGCCCACCGACGATGCCCACCTCGATCTCGGACGCCTTGAGGTCTTGCGCCAGCACCGTGCTGAGCGTGTTGACCGCCAGGTCCAGCACCTCGTCGCGCGACATCTTGGAGCTGATCTCGGCCGCCTCGACGCTGGCCGCGTCCGTCGGGCTGACGACGACGCCGGCGCCGCTCGACGAGCCCGCCGTCGCCGTGGCGTCGGAGCCGCCGCTGGCCGTGGTGCTGGTCGACTTTTTGAACTGCTTTTCGAGGAAGTTGTTGGCCTCGGTCTGCTTGGAGCCGGCGGCCGTGGCGCGGAAGCCGACATAGTAGCCCGCGGGGTCCACCTTGAAGATCTGGGGGCCGCGCTCGGCGTCGATGCCGACGAGGATCATCGAGATGCCGAGCGGGCGCATGGCGGCCCGCTGCGTGTAAACCTGGTTGATGTTGGCCATGCGCTTGGCGAGCTGGTCCGGCGTAATGGCGTAGCCGTACTTGTACTTGAACTCGGCCGCCTCGGAGCGCGCTCTCGCCACCTGCGAACGGGCATCGGCTGCGGGGGAGGGACGGCATCGGGTAGCGGAGATGGAGCGGCGTCGCCAGTCAGTCAGCAGTGAGCCTTAGGAGCGGCCGGGGATACGGGGTGCAAGTCGTTGATGCGCACCGATCCTTCCAGTCATGATGCAGCCGATCTCGGCAGTGATGTTGAAGATGTGGGTGACGGTCGAGGCGTCGATCAGCTTATCCTAGGGTGGACGAAGCGGGGCAGGCGACAGAGGTCGTGGGTGAGCCGAGAAGTTCGAGACGGGAGTCAGTCAGAGCCAGAGTGTCGCTTGGACTATCAGTACTGCTGGTGCTGTCAGGAACTGCTGCCGCGACTCACGGGGACCTTTCGCTGACCGACGACGACGGTGCAGTCCTTTCCGCGGACGGCGATCGAGGTGAGGCCGGCGGTGGTGATGGCCTTGAAGGCATACTCGACCTGGTAGAGGCGTCCATCGGGCGAGAATACGGTGAGGTAGCGGTCGTAGCTGCTTCGAGACATGTTGGGCGGGCGGGCGAGCGGACGGCGTCTAAGCTGGCAGGTGGGCGGGAGAGTTGAGGATGCGGGGTGGGCGGCGAGCGGGGATTCGACGAAGGCGGACTGGGCTGCGGATACGCGAGCGTAGACGAGGGGACCGGAGAGGAGAGAGAGGTACGGTGACGAGAAAGAGATCCGACGTCGATGATGGGTGGTGGTGGAGCAGCGGTACGAGGAGGTTGAGGGTGAGGACGAGGATGAGGGCGAGCGCGAGAGCGAGAGCGAGACGTGGACGGTGCGTGGGGTGGGCCAAAGTGGAGAACCTGGAATTACGCGGCGCCCAACTCGCAACGGGGGCGGTCTGTGTGTTGCGCTGCTCGGCCACCCAAGCGGGCCCGAGCTGGCCAGGCTGGGCCAGGGGCGACTCTCCCGATCACAGTGCCATGCTGCACGTGATCTCTCCCGCTGGAGCAGGGGCAGGTCAGGTGGGCCCCTGTCAAGCAGGTGGCCGGGCAAGCAGGCGGGCAAGCGGGCAGGCTGGACGGCGGACGGCGGACGGCGGGCGGCGGGAAAAATTTGACTTTTTTCCCTTTGCGAAGGAGGCAGCGGGTGGCTAGTTAGCTGGCTCCCCGCCCGCTCGCCCGCTCGCCCGCCTGCTGCTGGTGGCCGGGAAATTCTTGAGGCTGGCTTTGGGCTGGCTTGGCCGGCTGGCTCGCTCGCTGTGCCACCTCTTCGACATCGCGGTAGGTCCTCACCGTCCATCTTCCCGCTGACCCACACCTCACACCCTCGCCGACGCAGCAGCCGCAGTCGCAACCACCAGCACCGCATCGCTGCCACCCAACATCGACTCGGCGCACCTCACCACTTACCCTACATCATACTGGCGCCGACCTACCTCGACTCGCGAGCGGCAGCCAGTCTCTGCCGTCGTAGCTTGACTCAACCCATCACCCTCCCGCACATCGACGCATCGCCCGACGACGACGACGACGACGACGACCACATAGCCCACCATGTCCAGCGCACCTACCCACGTCCTGTTCGAGTGCGCCACGGGATGTGCCGTCTTTGAGGTGGTCCAGGTCGAGGAGATCGGCAACCTCACCTCGGCCGTCCAGAAGAGCGTCGCAGAGTTCACCACCTTTGCAAAGATGGTCAAGCTCGTCAGCTTCAGCCCCTTCAAGAACGCCCTCGATGCTCTTCAGGCCTCGCTCGACATCTCCGAGGGTGAGTGACGGGCAGCGGACCCCGTGTTGGCCACCGTCTCCTACTTGCTTGGCCAGTATATGATCCGAGGAGCGTCGCTCATTAACCCCCCTTTGCTGGTCCCCCTCTTCCTGGCCCGCACCTCGCCTCCGCGCCTCTGCAGGCGTCGTCAACGACTACCTCAAGTCGCTCCTCACGCTCAACCTGCCCACGGGCAAGAAGATCAAGAGCGTCCTGCTCGGCGTGGCCGACCGCAACCTGGCCTCGTCGATTGTCGGCGAGCTGGGCATCCCCTGCGACACGGGCGAGACGTCGATCGAGATTATCCGCGGCGTGCGCCAGCATGCCGAGCGGCTGCTGCGCGGCATGGCCGAGGGCGACCTCGCCAAGGCGCAGCTCGGCCTCGGCCACTCGTACTCGCGCTCCAAGGTCAAGTTCAACGTCAACCGCAGCGACAACATGATTATCCAGGCCATTGCGCTGCTCGACACGCTCGACAAGGACGTCAACACGTTTGCCATGCGCGTCCGCGAGTGGTACGGCTGGCACTTCCCCGAGCTCGTCAAGCTGACGCCCGACAACATGACGTACGCCAAGCTGGCGCGCTTCATCAAGCACAAGGAGCGCCTCACCGAGGACCACGTCGAGGAGATGACCGACATCCTCGCCGGCGACGAGACCATGGCCAAGAACGTCCTCGACGCCGCGCGCGCCTCGATGGGCACCGAGATTGGCGAGATGGACATGACCAACATTGAAAACTTTGCCGAGCGCGTCGTCAACCTGGCCGAGTACCGCAAGAACATGCACAAGTACCTCGTCGAGAAGATGCACCTGGTGGCGCCCAACCTGTCGGCGCTGCTGGGCGAGGTGATTGGCGCGCGGCTGATTTCGCACGCCGGCTCGCTCACCAACCTGGCAAAGTACCCGGCGTCGACGGTGCAGATCCTGGGCGCCGAAAAGGCCCTCTTCCGCGCGCTCAAGACCAAGGGCAACACGCCCAAGTACGGCCTCATCTACCACGCCTCGGCCATCGCGCGGGCGGCGCCCAAGAACAAGGGCCGCATGTCGCGCTTCCTGGCCAACAAGATCTCGATTGCCAGCAGGATCGACTGCTTCTCGGACACGCCCACGACCAAGTTTGGCGAGGTGCTCAACGTCCAGGTCGAGGAGCGCCTCGCCTTTTACGAGACGGGCAAGCCGCCGGGCAAGAACAGCGATGCCATGTCCAAGGCCATCAAGGCCATCGAGGAGGCTGCCGGAGACCTCATGGACGTCGATGCCGCCGACGACGACGAGGACGAGGACGACGACGAGGAGGATGCCAAGATGCCCGCCGCCGTCGGCGTGACGGATCCGGCGGACAAGAAGAAGGAGAAGAAGGACAAGAAGGACAAGTCGTCCAAGAAGGACAAGAAGGAGAAGAAGGACAAGAAGAGCAAGAGCAAGGCCGACGACGCCGACAAGGACGACGACGTCAAGCGGGCAGCGGCCAAGGCGGCCAAGAAGGAGGCAAAGAAGGCGGCGAGAAAGGCAAAGGCGTAGCCCCCCGCCTTTGGCCCGCCTTCGCGCCTGCCTGCCTGCCTGTCGGGCGCCGCCCTCCATCGCTCTCATCTTTCTTTTTTTTCGCCCTCTTGCTTTTCAATCCACTTGTACTTTAGTCACTCTCCCCCCTTTTTGCGACGATCTCCTTTCCACCTCGATTTGCCTTTGCAGTATGGCTGATCTGATCCACTCTAGACCCGCCACGTTCGAGGGGAAGACTGCATCGCTCCACGTTCGTGCGGTCGATCGGTGGGTGGGTCGAGGATGTTGCAGGGGCAGGTGGAGGCGGGCTAGGAGACGGCGAAGCCGAGCACCCTCTTACGCGGCGACATTGCCAGTTTCGCCGGCGGCTCTAGCGTCGTGCCGAGCGAGTCCTGGTGCTGCTGCTGCTGCTGGTGATGGTGCGAGTCGGAGCGAGAGCGACGTCGTGGTGCCCCTCCTGCCCCTGCCGCTGCTGCTGTTGCTGCCACTGCTGCTGAGGATGGTGCTGGTGGTGGTGCGGGGCGGGTTCGGATCGTCTCGATCGTCCTGACGCTGCCCGCCGTCCCAACTTGGACCGAGCCGGGTTCACCCCCCTCTCCCCCCACCGCCAGTTGCGTTGGAAGATCCGTCCGTGTTGGTGCGTCCTTCGTCGACGTCGTCGTCGGCGGCGGCGGCGGCGGCGCATCGACCGGTCTCTCAATCCCACCTCGATTGCCATGACCTTCCCTCTCGTCATCCCCGACCTCGACGTCGTCCACTCCGATCATCTTGACGCTCTCCCCCTCGTCTCCCTCCTCCTCATCCGCTTCCAGGTCGTCTTCGTCATCGTCGTCGTCGTCGTCGTCATCGCCTGTAAAGTCGTCCGAGTCGATGCCGACGCCCACGTGGTCGAGGTCAGAGTCGACGGCGATGCCATCGCCATCGCCGTCGTCGGAGACCTCGTCTGCCATCCCCTGGAGACCGAGGTGCCTCGCCTTGGGTATGCCCCGTACCGCTGGCCGTCTCGGCGTCGTCGACGAGGCCGCACGGTCGCGCGGCGTGGTGCCCGCTGACGCTGCGGCCGTACCGGACCCTCGTCCGACTGGTGCATCGCCACCATCCCGCCTGACCGGCGAAGCGTGGCCAGGCCCCATCCGACCGCCAGGGCCACCGCCGTGGCGTTCGGCCCTCTTGCGCTCGACGAGGTGGCGTCGATGGTGCTGCATCTGCTGCACGACGTCTTCGCCGAGCGAGACGTCAAACAGCTCCCAGATGTACCGCCGGACGGGCAGGCGGATGTAGAAGCAGTCCATGAGCTCGACGGCGCGCGTCAGGAGCGCCACGTCTTCAAACGTCGCCTTGTGCTTGAGCTTGAGCTTGGCCAGCGTGCGCGACGCATTGTTGGCCAGGATCGAGTTGCCCAGGTTGGCGATCGAAGTGATGGCCTTGTTCTCGAGCACCGTGTCTGGCTCGCAGAAGTCCAGGTAGCCCAAGTCCAGCACCTCCTCGACGTCCCACGTAGGCATCGAGACGAGCCGCCCAACGTCGCTCGGAAGGCACAGTCCCAGCGGCACGCCGAGCGGTGTGCAGACCGAGATCCAGCCGTAGTCTTGCAGCAGCTCGGATCCCTGTGTCGTTGCCGAAATCAGCCCAAGGACGAAGAAGCACGTCCTGCGGAACACGAGGAAGTCGAAGATCGGGCAGAGAGGGCCGGCTCTGAAGCTCGTCAGTCGACCGCCTAGGCCAGTGACCCGCTCGCACATCTTGTTACTCACCCTCGCACCGACATGACCAGCGAGTTTTCGGCAATCTCGATGATCTGGGAGATGACGTCCTCGGCCTCGAGGAACGGCAGACCGAGCGTGGTCGAACCAATGTTGCCCTGCACGGACAGCAAAGCGGAGGCGCGTGTAGATGCCGCGGCGTGTCAGCCAGCGTCCATCACATCTGATCAAGCTCCGCCGGTTCTAAAACGCCGCCTTCATGTGCACATCGGCCACTCACCACTGCCCACAGGACGCTCTTGAGCTTGTTGATGAGCTCGGCATCGGAATGCTCGAGGCCGTGCTGGCGGATGAAGTGCGCAAAGTCGCCAAAGTGGCCCTTTTGCCGGAGGATCTCGCAGCCCTCGGCCGTCTTGGCCAGCTCGCCGTAAAAGTGGGGCGGAACTGTGCCATCGGGCTCGGCGTCGGCTGCTGCATGGCTGCTCGTCTTGCCCGCGGCGTCCTTCCGGCTGGCTCCGAGTCCCGCCGCCGCCGCCGACGAAGACGAAGCCGAAGAAGAGGCCGACGTGCGGTGGACGCTGAAGAACTCGGCCAGCATCACTTCGACCTGGATCGCGTAGCGGTGGTTGCGCTCGTTGAACCAGTGGTCCATCTCGCGGTCGATGTAGTCGCCGGTCCAGAGGTATCGGAAGCCAATGCTGGTCGAGAGGAACTTGAGCAGCAGTGGGTGGCCGATGTCGCCGAGGTGGTCGAGCGTGGGCCGCATGGCGACGACCTTTTCCAGTATGTCGATCGAGGCGCACGACTCCTCGACGACCCTGACCGCCAGCTCCCTCACCTCGATCGACGTGTCGTAGAGCTGCGAGAGGAGCAGGCTGATCATCCACTCGTTGCCGTCGTCCTCGGCAGCGCCCGTCGACTGGCGGGCCGAGCTGCCAATCGAGACGGACCGCCGGATGAGCTCGGCCAGGTGGCGCGTGGCAAACAGTCGGATGTGGCGGTAGTTGGACGTCAGCGCCTTGGACAGCACGACGCGGGTGTGCCCGTCAAACGAGTAGTCAAAGTTTTCGATGACGGCCCGGATGACGTCGTCGCGGCTGCGCAGCTCGCTCAGGTGGTAGAGGGGCGAAAAGACCTTGTGCCGCTCCAGCAGGCGGATGCCCTCGGCGCTCTGGGTCAGCACGCCGAGCATCTCAAAGTAGCCCGAGGTCAGCGTCTCCTCGAGGCGGCTCTTGGACATGAGCGGGTCCGAGGTGGGCGTGCCAGACACGGGGTCGAGCTGCTCGAGGCACTCGCGCACCTCGCGCAGCAGTCGGTCCTCGGTCAGGGCCTTGATGCCCTCGGCGGTGCAGAGGAGCGTCGAGAGGAGCGTGCAGCCGAGCCGGACGAAGCGGCGGTTCGAGTTGATCTTGCGGATGCTCGAGAAGCGCAGCGAGAACGGGTGGAAGAACGAGAGGAGCCGCTTGAGGAACTTGGTTCCGCGCATCACCTCGTCCATGCGGCGCGGGTTCATCAGCGGGCCTTCGAGCATCTCGGTCAGCGTGTCGAGGTTCCACTTGACGTGGTCCTTGGTGTTGAGGACCTGGGTGTCGACCATTAGGCTGCGGAACTGGTTGTCGTCGATCTGCATGCCGAGCCGGATCTTGGTCTTTTCGACCTGGCGTTGGCCGCGCCGCACCGTCTCGTCGAGCGAGTTGGAGCGGTCGCGGCTGGCGGGCTGCTTGGATCCCGTGGCGGCGGCGACAGTGGTAACGGCCTCGTGGTGCGCGCGCTGGCGGTTGACGCGGTCGATGGAGGACAACGCCAGCGCCGCCGCCTGCCGCTCGTCGCTCTTGGACTTTTTGAAGCTGGCGGCGAGGGCAAAGAGGTGCGGCAGCGAGTGGATGCTGCTGCCCATCGAGGGCGGATGGACCCGCTTCGACACCTGCAACAGCTCGCCCATCAGCAGCGTCGCCTTCCGGCTCATCTCTGCGGTGTGCTCGATGACGGCGACCAGTGCGTCGATCAGGCCGGCCTCGATGAAGACGACCAGCAGCAGCGCGAGGTAGTGGTCAACGAGGTTGAGGCGCGTCCTCGTCTGGTCACCCATCTCGCCGAGCGAGGGCAGCCCGTTGGACGTCGTTGCTGCGGCGGCGGCCGCAGCCCCTTCCACATTGGCCTGCCTCTGGCCCGACTCCCTCTTGCTGGCTGGGTCGTCTGTCTGCGCCGCGGCCCGCACGTTGAAAAGGTCGTAGAGCATGTCGAGGATGCAGTCCTTGACCTCGACGGCGTTGACGCGCAGCGCCAGCACAATCGACTTGACCGCCCGCTTGTCGTCCATGCACATGTAGAGCAGCCCGCCCCAGGACCGCAGCATCGTCGAGACGACCTTGGCCGTCGACCGCAGCGACGCCTCGTACGCGACCGGCTTGATCGGCAGCGACTCGGTCAGGCCGGACATGGCGACGTCGAGGTCGACGCCCGGCCGCAGAAAGTGGCGCGTGCCCGGCATGTCGATGAGGTAGAGGAACGTCTGCATCAGCGTAGGCGCAAAGTCATTGGGCGCGTCGACCAGCGCCTGCAACGCTGACCGCAGGCCACCACCGCGGATGAGGAGGCGCACGTCGAACACCGCCAGCTCGGCCAGCGTCTCGAGGCAGATGTGCCGCAGCTTGTCCTCGCCGTCTTCGGCCACGGCCGCCAGCGCGCGGACCACGCCCGGCGCCAGCAGATCCTGGAGATCAGGCGCCAGGCGATCCGGGGCGGAATTGACGGTGCGCAGCGCGGCGAGCTCCATGACGGTGCGGATCAGCTTGAGCGCCTGCTCGCGCTCGACGTCGAAGCGGTTGTCGCGGATCGTGGTACGCGAGAGGTAGACGTCAAGACCCTTGGCGCGGCAACGCGAGATGAGCGGCCAGGGTGGCTGGATGAGGGCGTGGCGTATGAGGCGGTAAGCCGCCGCGCGCACCTCTTTTCCTGCCGAGTCGGCCAGGCACGGCATCACGACGTCGACCAGGTCGTCGAGCGAGAGCTCGTAGCGGGCACGCGCGTGCTTCTTGAGCACGACGACGAGCCGTTTCATGGTATCAATCTGACGGTTGGCTGCGTCGCCGAGGCCATCGGCGTTGCTGGGCGTCCTGACGTGGCCCGAGCTGGCGCCACCCGCCAGCGCCGCCACGCGATTCCGTGTGATTTGCCGACGGTTCATGCGGGCGCCCGGCGGGCCCATAGCAAGGGGCGCGTTGGCGTTGCCGACGAGGCCAGGGATGCCTGCGCCCATGCCAGCTCCGGCGACCCCTTCGCCAGGCCTGCTGGCATTCGACGAAGCGCTCGCGGCGGCCTCGTCGAGCGTGCTCTTGGACGACGACATGAGGAGCGGTGCGCTGCCGGAGCGGTTACGCAGGGGCGTGCTGCGGAGCGAGCGGAGCAGGGCCATGACGAGCGTCCTGGTCGCTTGGGCGTCTTCGGTCTCCTTGTCGCGCTCCCTGTCGCCCTCGCTACCTGGCCGTGATGTTGCCGTGTCCGATCTGGATCGATGTGTCGTCGTCGTCGTCGCCGCCGCTGTCGTGGTGGGTAGGGCCGCAGCTGCCGACGATGAGGACGCCGAGTCTGCCCGGAAACGGCCCCTCCGTCCGTTGGTGGGCTGCTCGAAGCCGCCATCGAGGCCGATGCCGAGGCCGCCCACGAGGCCGTCCATGTTGCGGGTGGCGCCGATCTCATTTGCGAGGTTGGACGAGGGCGGTGAGCCCGTGTCGAAGGCGTCCTGCATCCTGGAGATCTGGTAGTTGGTGGCGGCGTCGGGCGACCTGCTGGGCCCGGGCGGGCCGGGGAAGAGGGAGTCGTGGTCGAGGCCAAGGGCGGAAGCCTCGAGCCTGGCGACATGGTCGATTTCGGCGTCGGGGTGCCATCTCTGCTGCTGGTTCTGGTGCTGCTGCTGCTGCTGGTGGTGCTGTTGTTGCTGCTGGTCGCTGCGGGCGTTGCCGTGCTGGGGCGGCGAGGTGGTCCTGAGGCGTTGCAGCTCGCTGTGCAGCACGGCGATCTTTGCGTTTGCCGTGTCGAGCTCGGACTCGATCTGCTTGCGGAGGTCGTGCTTTGTGGACGATGCGAGGCGGAGGTCAAATACGTGGAGGAGGTTCTCTGCGCCCTCCTTGATCTTGTTCTCGACGTCGATCTTGTGGCGAAGCTCCCTCTCCTCGTCGGCTGGGCCGCCGTCGAACGCGGTCATGATGGAAGGCGTGGCGATGGCGGCGACGGTGGTGGCGACAGCTACGGGCGCGGTGAAGGGCGAGGCGCGGAGTCCAGCGCGACTACCTCGTCGACCATGGAGGAGAGGTGGACGGGCGCTGGACGGGTCGAGGTTGGGCGGCTAACGGTGCGAGGCGAGTAAAGAGCGCCCGCTCGCTCGAGAGACTGCAGAGATAAGAGACAATCTGACACGCTGACGGGCTGGGCGAGTGAGATGCGGAGAGGACGCGATGGAGGAGGTGGGTGGGTCGAGGCAGGGCTAGGAGGAAGTTTGGGGGTAAGGCGTGTTGGTTTGAGGGCCTGGCAGGCTGCCCTCGCCTGGCCCGCCTGGCGCGCCTGCAGAGGTCCGTGCTGGGGCCTCTGGGTCAGCTCTCAGCGCCTGCTCCACACGCGACCCTGGCTCGGCACTCGGCCTCGAGCAAAACCCGATACTCGCCCCGCCTCACCTGATAGCATCCCCTCCCCTCCCCTCCCCTCCCCTCCCATCCCATCTCGCACTCGGCCGCAGTCATGGGATGAGCTCGCGAGCCAGCTCAGAAGCCGCCGCAAGCCAATCGAGGCCGGCTCGAACGGACAGGCACGCACGCTGACGAAAAAGCACCCATGGCATTGGTCAAGAGGAGCTCCATCACGACAAACTCGTACCTGCCCTCGTCGCCCTCAGTCGGCCTTGACCCCGGCGGCTGCCTTGCCGTTGTACAGCGGCAGGCTCGAGCCCAGCGCGCCGCCAGACTCGGCCGACGCCCTGCGCAGCCCCCAGAAGAGCACGGCCATGAAGAAGGCGACAAACGCAAACGACGACAGCGGGTGCTGCTTCGACGTGTCAATCACCGCCCCCGTCCCCGCCGCCGCGCCCCGGATGCCGCGGTCGAGCATGCTGCGGCTGCTCTTGGCCGGCAGCTCGCCGCGCACCGCCCCGGCGATGGTCTCGTACACCCGCTCCCGCGGCGTCCATGTCCCGAACCCGTCGGGCCTCTGCGACGGCAGCTCGTAGTACTCTTCGCGCGCCCCGTTGACCAGCAGCAGGTGCGGCAGGTCGAGCGGTTTGATGCCGTACAGCTTCCGCAGCTGCGTCGCCCACCGGTCGGCGTCGATCCAGGCCCAGATGACCTTGGCCGGCGACTTGGCCGCCAAGTTCTCCCTCCAGCCCAGCGACAGGCTGCGCACCGCCATCAGCTCGCGGTCGCGCTCCTTTGTCCCCTCGACGACGTCGGTCGACTGCCGCCCGTGGTGGTGCACGTCGCTCAGCGCCGCCACAACGACGTATGCGCCGCTCTCGTTGTCGAGCACCTCGTCAAAGTTGGCGCCCGTCAGCTCCGTCATCAGCGGCCACCGCTCCGTGTGCACCCACTTTGTCACGTCCTCGACAGCATCCTCGACCGACATCGACGACGAAACGGACGACGAAGGGTGGTAGGCGGCCGTCGGCTGGATGGTGCTGTGGTCCTTGAACACGAGCAGCGCAGACGACGCCGGCACCGTGCGGCTCGAGTCGGTGGCGAGGAACTCGGCGTAGCGCTCCAGCAGGCCCGTGTCGGACGAGACGTAGGCCGACGCCGGGCTGCCTGCGAGGACGCGCGTGGCGCGGTCGACAATGTCAATCTCGCGCTTGGTCGTGGCGGGCGAGTGGAGGTAGAGGAAGAAGACCTCGTCGGCCTTGGCCGCCTTGGTCAGGGCGGCGACCGAGTCGAGGTTGCGCATGCCGACGGCGGCGCCGGCCTTGGACGCCCACTGGAGCATGGCGTCGTGGTTGCGCCCGCCGTTGTACTCGATCGGGTTGCCGTCGTTGTACATCCGGAGCGTCGGGTAGCCGTTGACCTTGTACTTGGTGCAGATGGCGCCATGGGCGACGCAATCGACCTCGAGCACGTTGACGTGGCCCTTGAGCGAGGCGGCGACCTGCTTGAAGGCGGCGGCCATGTTCTTGCAGTGCGGGCACCACGGAGCGAAGAACTTGACAAACGTCGGGCCCTGACCGGAGCCCTTGCCGAGCCACTGGGCGAGCGCTTCGGGCGTGGGGATCTCGGAGCCACCGTAGCTGATCAGCTCGCCCTTGGGGTTGGGGCCCGCCGGCAGCTGCTCGTCGGGCGGCGCGGTGGTGGGCTGGATCGGCAGACCTGCAGCGGCCGGCGGTGGAGGCGGAGAGGCAGGAGGGACGGCGGCCGCAGCGGGCTGTTGCTGAGACTGGGGCGGTGGTGCTGCCGCTGCCGCTGCCGGGGCGGGTACCGCCGCTGCTGCGCCCTTGTTCGCCTCGACGACCGAGGCCGACTGCTTGTCGGCGATGCCCTTCTTGGCGCGGTACTCTGCGGCGTGCTTGTCGATGTAGGCGGCGATCTCGGCGTAGTTGCGGTCGCCCTTGTACTCGCCCTGGTGCTGCACGCCGTCCTGGTAGATGGTGAGGCGCGGGAGGAACTCGACGCCCTGTTCGGTGCACAGGTCGCGCTGGGCGATGCAGTTGACCTGGGCCAGGGTAAAGGGCGCCTCCGGGTACTGGGTGCGGAGGTGGTCCTTGTTCTGGCTGAGCTCCGACCACGTCGGACCAAACTTTTTGCAGTGGATGCACGAGGGCGAGAAGAACTCGATGAGCCAGGCGCCGTTCTGCGTGAGGGTGAAGTTGCTCGAGGTGAGCTGGCGCAGGCCGTCGTGGGTCGCCGCCGAGGTGGCTGCCGCTGCCGGCGCTGGCAGGCGGGAGATGCCCAGGACGGCTGCCAGCAGCAGCAGCAGCGAGGCAAGGCGCGTCAGGAGCGTCGCCCCGGGTCGACGGGAGGGCATCGCTGAGGGCGGCATCGGTCCGCGTGGGGTTGCCGCAGAAAGTAGGAGAGGGAGAAGGGGAGATCGAGAGAGCCGGACTGAGGGAGAGGGCGATAGCGAAGTGCTGACGAGCAAGGCGGAACGTGGATAAAGGAGCGTGGGGCCGGCAGTGGCGTCGTTGCGAAGGCCGGGGCGGGGCGGGGCGGCGGCGATGGGTCGAGGCGAGGCGAGGTGAGAGAAAGCGACGACGGCTTGCGCGGGTTCAAGGGGCGGGCAGTGAGTAGGTGGTCAAAAGAGGGCCCTGGCGGTCGTTGGCCGCGATGATGGTGGCGGAAGACGAGCAAAGAGCCAGGACAGAGTCAAGACAGGGAGCGCGAGGGTCAGTGTGCCGGCAGGCCCGCTGGCTGCCGAATCCCGGCCGTGGCCACCCTGGCCTGGCCTTTGTTCGGTGGCCTGCGCGCGCGCCGGCGGTCGAGCCACCGTCAGCGTTCCCATCTCGCTGCTGCCGCTTCCCGGCCCCTCCCTCGACGCTGCCTGGCATCGCTGGCGCCCGACGCCCAGCCTCACAAGAGTGGCACCAGAACATGGTGGTTGCAACAGCTCGCGCATCGAACCCAGCCCAAAAAGCACATGAAAATACAAGGAAAGAGAGAGGAGTCCAAAAAAGCAAAAGAAGAGGATGGAGACTGCATGAGTCGAACACGCGACCTTTCGCAGACCACTTGAACAGCTCCAGAGATGCTGTGCCGTGCTAAGCGAACGCTCTGCCAACTGAGCTAAACCCCCGGATGATGTCGGGTTCTTAAACTATTGTATACTTGTAGCACACCGTCTGTTGGCTGGTTCTGCGAATGGCGGTGGAGGCTTGCGAAGGACCCTGTTCGTCGATCGACGACTCCACCACCACCACCACCACCTCTCCCTTCCCCCCCTGTTTGAGCCTCGCGGGCGGTGCCCTGTTGCTGCGTTCCAGGTGGAAGCAGCTCCGCGGTCGCCGTGGCCATCCTCCCACCCTGTCCAACAGCCTCAACACCGCGTCGCGCGGGGCGGTCAGCCTCCATCTTCTGGGCGACCGCTCCGCCTCCACAGGCTCCCCGCCTGCCCCTCGAAGCGCGAGCGACGGCGATGAGGATCGGCGAGACGACCCCTCGAAGGACGCAGGATCTTCGACCGGCATAGGTGACGGCGGCGATCCGGGCAGAATCCTGGCCACGAGATGGCACTTTTCCAGCGCCCAGTCCAAGGACGACGACGACTTCCGCCTCTACCAGGCCACGTCTCCGGACGCCGTCAGAGGCACCGCCAAGCTCGTCCCCGAGTCACGCCCCATCCGGCTCGCCGGAATCGCAGGTAGAGGGCGCCCCAGCGCAGTCGGCACCACCGACGACGTGCCCCGGTCGGCCAAGATCACCTCTGGCATCGACTTCCTGCGCACCTTCCACCCCATCCTCGACATCCCCGCAGCCCTGCTTGCCGAGACGATCGAACAGGATGCGCAATCGACTTCGCGGGACAGCCTCACCACGCCGGGGCGCGAGGACGACAACGAAACACTCCTCGTCGTGCCCATCGCCCTGCCCCAAGGCACCACCGAGCTCGTCCTTTGCTCCGTGGGCGGCCCCAACTTCAACGAGCTCTTCCTCTCGACGCTGGTCTACGGCGACGGCCAGCAGGATGAATCGCCCCGCGATGCACCCCGACAGCCGCTGCTGCGACTCACACCACCGCCAAGACCGTCACTCGTGCTGAGCTCCCCCATCGTCCAGATCTGTGCTTCTCCGCACGACTCGGTCACCCAAGGCAGCAGCCGACACCTCGGACCTTGGGTCGCCATCCGGACGTGCACCGAGATTTGCATCGTCGCTCTCAAGCGGAGCAGCCCGGAGCACGGCCATCCTGCAACCTACACCGTGACCGTGCTCGACCGCTTTCCCGGCGGCAGCGACGGTCCCGTCACCTACCGAGACATCCGCTTCGACAGGGATCAACGCAACCGCGCACTCGTCGTCGATGCACGCGGCGAAATTCGCGAATGGACCGTCCCTCTCGACGAGCAGCGTCGCCCTAGATGGCGGGAGGCGGCTTTGCGCAAGCACGAGATGTCCGGCGATGCCCTGCGCAATGTCGAGGGCAAGGCAGAGGCAGCCGAGCCACGGGACGACTTCTGTCGGATCGCAACGGGCACCGAGCGTGGCGATCTGTTCATGGCATCGGCTTCGAGCCTCTACCGCGTTCGTATCGAAGCATCGGATCCACCGCGAGCGGTGCGAGAGTGCTTCTACACGACCCGCGTCGGAAAGGACACCTTGAGCCGGCATCGCTTCACTTCGCTCGTCTCACCCGGTCATCGGTCCGAACTGCCCCTGCTGGCGGCTTGCACCGACACCGAGCTACTCTGGTTCAGCATGCAGGACACCACTCAGCCGCTCTTTTCCGTCCAGCACCATCGAGGCCCGGACCGCTCCCTCTGCCTTAGCGCCCTCCCGAGTCCGGACCCGACCGTCGCGCGATTCGTCCTCTCCTCCAAACGCAACCGCCTGTTGACGGCCTACACGATTGCTCTTGCACCTCGCGAGGCAGCGACAGGCTTCGCCGGAAATACCACCACGACGACAGCCACGTTCCCCAGCACAAAGCTGTTGGACGGGCGTCCGCTGCTCTTTCGGCATCACCCGATGCTCGTGCCAACGTCGCTTCCATCGGGCGAGATGCCGGGCTCGCGGCCGGCCGTACTCGACCTCTCGGTGCTCGGAGACGGCACTGGCCGTACCTGGCGCAGGGATGCCGGGCTCGACTACCAGCTCTTCGAGGTCACCGATCGCGGCGCCGTCTTCACCAGGTTCTTGAGCTGCAGAAGTCCCGTCGAGGACGCTGAAGAGGACGTTGCGCCAGGGAGCGACACCTTGGCCTTCGTCACCTCGAGCATCACAGACCCGGTCGACGAGGCGGAGCTTGATCGTCTCGAGCACCCCGGCCCCTTTGGCCTTGTCGACACGCGCATCGTCGATCTACGTAACGTCTACCGCGCGGCTATCAGCGACACGCTCAATCGCAGGCTGGGCTCTCCTGGGGACCGCCTGGATGCTCTGGTGTGCAAGATCAAGGAGCGGCTCGACCGCCCGCCCGACCCATTGCACGGTCGTGTGACGAGCACTGCCACCGTGCTCGCTTCGGCCTGCCGTGAGCTGGACGGCCGTAACACCGGCTCAAGCGCTTCCCGACATCCGCCGACCAGCATCCACTTCTTGCCAGACGCGCCGAGTTGGCACGATCTGGAGAAGCACGGCTCGGCAAAGCGACAGATCGACGAGCTTCTCAGTCGAATCGACCAGGATCAAGATAGCTTCGACCTGATCCCGGTCCTCTGGCAGCTCTGCGGCCTTCCTGCACCATCAAGCGGAGGCGCAGACAAGCTCGGTCGCGAGCAGCTCGACGACGCACTGCAACAGATGCTCGTGTCACGCTACGGCCCGGCATCGTCCACCATCTCGGCCTCCGACGCACAGCATCGACGAGCGCTCGAGAGGAGCTCCGAGCTGGCGCGGAAGCAAGTGATGTTTGACATCGGGGCATCGGCCAGGGCGCGTCTGAATCGATCGGACACGACTTTCGACGCCGGCTTTTGGCCGGTCAACGAGCCCAACTTCGAGCGTCGATCGACGAATTGGGCCTACGCCGACGAGGAGGCCTTCTCGCAGCGGTACCGGTCCACGCAGCCCGCCCCGCCGCCGCCGCGAGGCGCACCCGAAGTGCGGTTCGAGGTGCTGGATCCGCGCCGGCCAGAACCAGCACGTCGGGCCTCCAAAGCCGCCAAGCTGGAGAAGACGGAAGACGAACGTGGCAAGGGCAGCGGAGAGGCGGAACCGGACATGGCTGCGTTCAAGACGACCTCGACGACGCGGCTGCTCCTGTACGAGTGGGACCTGGGACAGCCGGTGTCTTCGTACGTCTACAACGACCCGTACCAGAACCTCATGCTGCCGCCAGACAGTCGCAGTCGCTCGCAGACGCCCGCGACATCGGTGCCGGGCACGCCGTCGAGGTCCAACACGCCTCGGTCCGTGTACGCGACGCCGCGCGGCGGGAGGATGTCATCGCAGCGCACAGCTCCGCCCACCATTGGACTATCGAGCCAGAGCAGCGTACCGCCTCCGATCGCCTCGAGGCGGATGCCGCCTTCGATCGGGTCAGGAGGAGCATCCTTGGGCAGCTTGGGCACGCCCAGCCGAGGGCGAGGACCCCTGTTCGCGAGGGAAATGATGGAGTCGAAACGGCACGCCGTGGCAGAAGACAGCAGCCAGGGCGCGTCCGGCAGCGAGAGCCAGAGTCAGATGGCGCCGAGCCAGTCGCTGCCTGGGCAAGGAAGATCACAGATCCAGACGCAGGTCGAGCCAGGCAAGTTTGGTGGGCGCATCCCGGCCGTCGGCGGCTCGAGTACGGGCGACGCCAAGATCAAAAAGGCCAAGAAACGGGCCAGAGGCTTCTGAGCCAGGCGAAGCCGTCGATTCTCGCAAGGTGACGCCCGAGTCGAAGAAGCAAAAGTACCTCTCGTCGATTATCATCTCATCTAGCTAGGTATCGAGCGATCTCGGCTTGCAAGCTTCCATCGACATCCGGGACAGATCTATGTGCGAGGCCCGCCGCGACCCTAGGCCGTCTCGACGGCCTGCCTGACGCCCTTGGCATCTTCGCTGCTGAGGGTGTCGCCGCCCACGGTGCGGTCCGAGGGCCTCCTCTGCTCGAGAATCTGCTCTTGTCCCTGCGGCGTCTGCTGGATCTGTTTCTCGTCGATCCCCTCGCGCTGTCCCTGGTCGCCCTTCTTGCCGAGCAGGCCGGAGAGGATCTTGGCGATGAGGTGCCTGCCCTCCCACAGCGGCAGGAAGGTGAAGATGAGGAGGGCGGCGAAGGCCCAGATGATGCTGACGACGACCCAGCCGGTGAAAAAGGGGCGGCTGAAGTCGTACCGGGCGCCGTACATGATAAAGGGCCAGAGGATCCAAACGGCGAGGAAGAGGAGGGCGCCCACGACGGCGGCGACGACCGACTGCCTGCGCATAAAGCTGAGCTGGGACGGGGTGAAGGCGCCCTCTGCCTCGGACTCCTTGATCGACGACGTCGACGACGTGTCGTCCTGGATCAGGCGGATCTCGGCGAACCTGGACCAGAGGAAGTCGGGCCGCGGGAAGAGGAGCGAGATGGCAGGCGAGAGGACGGCGGGGAGCGCGGCGGCGGTGATGGTGCCCCACAGGCAGGGCAGCAGCTCGCCCGTCGTCGTGACGTCGAGCACGCCGTTGCCGTAGGCCTGGGCCGTGGCGAGCCAGACGGCCAGGCCGGCCAGGATGCCGGCGATGGGCGAGACGACGGCCGCCGCCCACGTCTGCCTCTTCCACAGCACCGTGAGCGGCAGCGTGACCATGGCCGGGCACGTGATGATGCCGAGGAAGTAGAGGGTCCAGGTGAGCGAGATGCCGACGTAGTAGAGCATGACGCTAAACGCCGACGCGAACAGGGCGAAGCCGACGCAGGCGAGGTGCGAGACGCGGATCACCTGGGCGTCGGTGGCGTTGCGGCGGACGTAGCTGTGGTAGACGTCGGACGAGACAATCGAGCTGACGGCGATGAGCTGCGCCGACGTCGTCGAGGTGACGGCCATAAAGATGAGGACGACGACGGCCACCGCCCCGCCCTTGCCCGCCGTCGCCAGCGCGGCGTAGGCGAGCGGCAGGCCGTTGTTCTGCTCGTCGGTCGACAGGGCCCGGCCCACGGCGGGCCAGATGGGGTTGTTGGAAGCCTGCAGCCCCACGCCGGCGAGTCCCATGGTGGTTCCGATGCACCAGGGCAGGCCAAAGTAGAGGACGCCGCCGAGGATGTAGCCGGGCACGGCGGCAGCGATGTCGGCAGAGTAAGCCTTTTGCCAGTACGACGAGTCCATGACGACGAGGCCAAAGTTGCCCAGGGTATGGAGGATGCCAAACTCGACGGCGCCCTTGGACGTCATGGTGAGGTAGCTTCCGTTGTGGTTGCCGCTGATGGGGCTGGCGGCGTTGGCGAGCGAGACGAGGTCCCACAGGTGGGCGGGCGACTGGATGGCGTCGTTGGTGATGGTCTTGAGCACGAGGTAGAGGACGATGATGAGGAGCGCCACCGAGTGCATCCAGTCGGTGAGGAACGTCGCCTTGAGCCCGCCCGAGATCGTGTAGAGGCAGACGCCGACGGGCAGCAGAAAGACGGCCGCCACCGTGTGCATGCCCGTCAGCGCGGCAATCGTGGCCGAGGCGCCCAGCAGCATGTTGGACACGGCGATCAGGTTGTTGGCCAGGCAGAAGAACATGTAGATCCAGTGGGCCGCCGTCCCATAGCGCGCCTTGACGACCTCGAGGATCGTATGGGCGTGCGGCGTCTTGAGCTTCGACTGGATCGCGAGCAGCGCAAACATCGATATCTGTACGAGGCAGCCTGCGGCAAACCAGTAAGCCCCCGACAACCCGTATGTGAAGGTGACGACCGTCGAGCTGAGGAGAGCGGTTGACCATGCCCAGGAGCTGAAGACGGCGGTGGCGGTGAGGCCCGTCCCGATTTTTCTTCCGGCGGTGGAGTAGGTCTCGAAGTGGCTATTGTCTTCGCCATTGTAGACGCGCAGGAGGCGCGTGATCCAGATCATGGCCGCCGCGAACGCGAAGCCGAAACCGAGCACCACGCCGTAACCCCACCCCTGCGACAGGGGCGGGGGGATGCTGTTGGACGGGTCCATCGTGTCAGAGGCGTGGACGGGGCGGAGGAGAGGGGAGTACTGCTGTCGGACGGTGGCGGTTTGGGTGGCACGGCGCTCTCGCTCTAGCCTTTTGGTGGGGGAGGCCGAAGGGGATGGGGGCGGGCTGGTCGAGCCCCGAGGCAGGCAAGTTGCGATACATATACCTCCTCCGATGGTCGTCTGCGACTGCAGCTCGACGGGCTACGAGCGTCCTGCATCTCGTGGCATTCCCGGTCTCTGGGGCCGGATCCAGGCACGAGAAGAAGCGATGTCGTATCATGCAAGTCTGAGAGCAATCGTCGTGATCGCGCAGGGGGAAGTCAAGGCGTCGAAGGCTGAGGGTGGCACTCTACTCGACACGGTAGGTAGCCCTCCCGCCTGTCGATTGGCAAGCCCCTCTGCCCTGTGCGTGTCATCTAGCCGCTGCAGCTCAGGGAAAAGTGGGCGGTCCACACTGGCGTCACGTTTGCACGTAGTTAGCGCAGACGGCTGAAGGACGAGACGACGTCGACGACGACGAGTTGAATGATGGGTCGACGCTTGAGCACCGAGGAGTCGCTGCCTTTCTTTCCGACCCCACTTACGTCGAAGGGAGAGGTAAGGAGGAGTGATGGCGTGATGGTGGAAGCCCAAACGAAGGGTCTGTCGACCTCCTAGCGTCCATACCGGCTACGAGGTCCTGCCGATACGGCGCGCTAGCGCTGCTGGTGACGGACACGTTCTTCTCGTCGCTCGACGGCGTGTCGGGACTAGAGCCGCACTCCACGGACCGCCAGTGTGAGCCGTGTTGGCACCAGAGGCTGATGCCGCGCCGGGGCTCGAGGTGAGGAGGCGAGAGACGCTTGGCGGACGTAGGCGGAAGCACACAGGCACCGGTACCTGCGGAGTCACCACGTCTCTGCTCGCGACTGTACTCGACGGCGATCCGACCATGGTCAGTCTTATCGCCCAGACTACTCTTTCTAGTGCGGAGTGCGGCGAGGGTGTTGCGAGATGATCGAGGCCATTGCCGTTGCCTTTGCGGTGGGGAGAGTGGATGATGCTTGACAGCCGGACGATGCAAGCGAGGATCCCCCGACATTTGTCGACGGCTGTAGGGGCCGGAGTGCCGCCACGACCGGATGGCGTGCTCTTTTCTTCTTCGTCAAGGCGGCCGGCTGGGCACTGCTCTCGAGAGTTTCACATGTCGAGAGCGCTGGTGAAGTACCAGTACCTACGACGAGGCCTGTACAGGCGAAAAGGGCGGGATGCTTCAGGACGGATGGATTGCCAGAGGGTCGGACGAAAGCGACAGTCTGGCGGGGGAGCGGGGAAAGAGGCAAGTCTGGCGGTGTTTGACGTGCTTTCGACCCTGCCTGCAGCGACGCGCGCCGGACCTCGCCTGCCAGCAGGAGTGTCGTCGAACCCCGCGCCACAGTCGCACAAGGCTCTGCACTCGTCCCCCTTGTCGAGCGAAGACAAGCAAAGGATGGTGTGATGTGGGCAATGGCCATGCCGGAGGCGGGTCGCTGCTCCTGCCAACGCAGCCCCTGGTAGCGGGCAAGGCCGGCGGATGGAACGCACGCCGGTCCTCGAGACCGTCGGCGCCAGAGCATCGATCGGCAGCAGCGGCAGCGATGTCTCCCCAATCAGCCCTTGCCGAACGCGATACTCGCCAGACAGCCTCGACGCTCCATCGTTGAGGAGATAGCTGCGGTTGGGGGCATCGCTGCTCGCCTGTCGCCTGCGAGCCCGGCCTAGAGGGCGCACGCAATCGCCGACCGCCTTGGCGTCAGAGGTGATTCGTCAGGACAACTAAAGCATTATATATGCACAATTTCGAAGCATTGACATCAACCGGGGGTTTAGCTCAGTTGGCAGAGCGTTCGCTTAGCACGGCACCGCTTCTTTGGGCTGTCCAAGTGATTTGCGAAAGGTCGCGTGTTCGACTCATGCAGTCTCCATCCTCTTCTTTTTCTCCTTTGTTTTTGGGGTCAACCCTTTTTTGCGGAAGACGGAACAGGCGCCGGACTCGCACGGAGGGCCGCGGGGGGACGGATCCGTTGCGTCCGGCTCCGAATTGGAGGTCGGGCTGCTGCTGGCCAGGAGCTTCGAGCTGGCCGGCCTGGCCGGCCTGGCAGGCCTCGCAGCCGCCATCGCAGCCGCCTCTCCACTACGACTTGTCGCTTCGCCCTTGGCATCTTTGCTTCTTCCCGCGCCCGCCCCGTCCCTACCTACACACACCCACATTTACACCACAGCGCAACGCAAGCATGGCCGAATCGCACGTCGCATCACTCGAAGAGGCCCAGGCGGCCCGACTGCCGCTGGGATTCAGGGATCAGTGCAGCGCGTACGTTTCCCCTGTCCCGCACTGCCCTGGTTCGAAGCGCCGCCCCCGCCCGGCCGGCGCTACCGTGACAGGGCTGCGCATTGGACCTTGCGAACGCTTCGCTGACCTCGTTTCTTGGCTTGTTCGCTCACTCGTCGGCTCGTGGTTGCGCTCCGCGCCGCACAGGCTGCTCATCCCGCTCAACAAGTGCCGGAAGCAGACGCTGTACGCACCATGGAAGTGCGAGGATGAGAGGTAAGTGGGCCTTTTCCGCGACGTCCCGCCGGGGTCGGTCCGTCCGCGCTGCGGCCGAGGTCGGACGGACGGGTCCATGTACGGATGGCGAGGTCGAATGGCCAATACGGGAAGCGGCGCAGGACACTTGTCTGCCCTCGTCGTGTCTCTACCGCCCGCACCGAGCTCCTACCCGTCCACCCGCCACGATATCCTCTGGACCCTACCTTACTGACTGACGCTGCATCGTCTCGCCCCGTTCCCGTCTCCGCTTCCGCCTCTGGCATCCAGACACACCTACGAAAAGTGCCAGTACGACGAGTGAGTGCCCTGCGCGCTCCGCAGCAGCCGCCAAGGCTTCCCCCTCGTCGCACCACCTCTGACGTCTTTCTCTCTCTGGTCTCTCGTTGTTCGTGGTATCGCCTCCTCGCGCTCGCACAGCTTCATCCGCCGACAGAAGGAGCTCTCGGCGCTCAAGAAGGCCCAGCTGGAAGCCGCCGACGAGTAGAAACGAGTCGCCGCCCGCCGCTGCGGCCGCCGTCGCTGCGTCGTTGTCCTTTGACAGAAACATCCATACGGGCAATGCCCACTGCCTCACGATCCACCAGACCCGCTTCTCCTTTCCTCGCCTCGTTGTGTTTCACGAGCACGGGACCTCGATGAGGCCGTGGCGGGGCGGAGCGGTCCGGTGCGGTCCGCCCTCGTCTGTGAATTGCGATGCGATGCAACGGGCGGTGTGAGCGGAGCGGAGCGGGCTACGCAGCCACCAGTTTCATGGCGACGCTGGTACAGCAGATGTCTTCGTACGGTTCTAGCTGGCGGCGCGTCTCGTCGGACCAGTCTGAGCTTTTGATGCGATCCAGGAGCGGGGCGGGTAGGCTGAGCTTGTAGATCTTGTTGAGCTGCTGCCAGTCGGTCACGGGCGCACGCGCACGCGCACGGGCATGCGCCGAAGGGCCACCGTACCTGATGGCGCTATCGATGTCGTCCTGGACCGCGTCGTCTGCCCCGGCGTCCGCCGTCGTGCCCGTCGCCGGTGGTGCCGCTGGTGGTGGTGGTGGGATGGTGAGGCGCGCCGGGCCGGTTTCGGACGATGGCGGGACGATGGAGAGCATCTCGTCGAGCACGGTCGAGGCGTCTAGCTGCGCGTCCGAGAAGCGTACGAGGAGGAGCGACGTCGATTGTGGCGTCAGGCCGAACCGTTTCAGCGATTCTCCAACCTGAAGTGACAGAGAGGCAGGAGGAGAGTAGACAGATCAGCTTTAGAAGTGTTGCCGCATCGCATCGCCGCGCCACGCCACGGTATGGCCTCACATTGTTACCGGGACTGAGACACCAGATGACTTCCGAATGGACCGTCTTGGTCTTCATGCCGCCCGACTGGTGGCCAGGCTGCTGTGGCTGTTGGTTGCGGGCTTCGGCTCTGGCAGCGACGAGGGCAGCCTGGAGGATGGCGGTGACGACGTGGTTGCGGCCGCAGATGCGCGTCGGGTCGATAAAGGCATAGTCGAGCCGTGCCCTCTCCCTCTCGGCCGCCTCGACCTCCTCCTCCCTCGTTGATGGCGCCGCATCGTCGCGGGTGGGCAGCTTGGACGCTGCGATGATACGCGCGAGGATCTGGCTGCTCTGGTCGGGCGTCAGCGGTGAAATGTGGGCGAGATGCACCCGTTGCAGATGCCGTGGAAAGTGCGGCGGTAGTGAGATCGTCTCCATCTCGCTTGCTGGGCCAGCCTCGTTCCTTTGTGTGGTCGGTCTGGTCGTCGTTGGCTTCGTCGTGGGGATGAGCGAGCGAGCGAGCAAGGGTACGAGGAAGGATGGAGATGTCGATCTAAGTGCCTATGTCGGTATGCAGAGGGAGAGAAGAGTCGAGTGCGGAGTGGAAAGCTTAAGGTGATGAAAAGTCAGGCGGGCTGGTTGGCTGGCTGGCAGGCGGGTGAGCTGCTTCTCGGCCTCGCCTCCACACACGCACCAACCCTCGCCGTTTCCCCACCAACCCTCCCCTCTCCCCCCTCACGCCCCCCTCCCAACTCTGCTAGGGACTCAGCATTGTCAACGCACACACAGGCCGCATCTCGACGACAGAGAACGGCTCGCATCACACCACACCACGCCACGACACGACACGACAAGGCGTACGAGCAGGAACATGGGAAAAGACGTTTATCAGATGGGATCGGCAAGGTACAGGGACAGGATGAGGCGACGTCGACGGCGGACGGGTGGTTGCGCAACCCCAAGCTCTAGCGACAGGCGACAGGCGACAGGCGACAGGGGGGGACAGTCGGCCATCGACGGCCTCTACTTGACCTTGACGACGACAAACGGCACCTCGACGTCCTCGCCCTCGGCGTCGTCGGCCATGACCTCGACAATGACGCGCGTCGCGTGCGCCGGGATGGGCTTCTTGCTCACCGTCTCGATGAGCTCGCTCATGCGCATCTTGAGCCGCTCGTCGCGCTTCTTGGGCGGCAAAAAGGCCGAAAAGAGCATCGACACGCCGCTCGAAATCATGCTAATCTCGAGGCCGTGCTGGCTCTTGAAGTGCTCGATGAAATCCTTGAGCACCATGTCCTCCTGGATGTCGAACCGCGACCACAGCGTCCACTCGGTGTCGTTGTACCGCAGCCGCGGCGCCGCAATCGGGTCGCTAAACGCCAGGAACGGCAGCGCCAGGTTGACAAACGCGTTCGAGTACACCTCAAGCTCCTTCTTGCCGTCGAGCACCTTGTACAGCTCCAGGTTGACCAGGCCCGTCGCCAACGCCGTCGTCGTCGCAATCGCCGGGATAATCTTGCCCGCGATGCCCTTGGTCTGGTGCTTGTCGGCGGGCGTGATGCCGTAGTTGCTGGCGCGCAGGTTCGACGCGGCCGTGATAAAGTCGATGTGGTGGTTGGTGTCGTCGTCCTTCTCCATCTCAATCGGCTGCAGGCGGAAACCCGCCAGCGACGCCGGCGTCGGCAGGCTGCTCGTGATCTCGGTCAGGTCCGCCTCGCCCCCGTCGTTGGCCCCGGCGTTCTGCACCGGCTCGTTGTCGTTGATCTGCACCTTGACGTTGGACTTGGGCACAAACTCGGGCACCGGCACGCTGGCCAGCACCTTCTTAAAGTAGGCCGGGTCCGTCTCGCCCTTGAGGCCGTAGTTGGCGGCGTGCAGGTTGGCGGCGGCGACGACGTAGTCGAGGTGGGTGGGGTCCTCGGCGTCAAACACGAGCGGCTTGGGCGCGCGCTTGGGCCCGGACCAGAACGGCTGGCCGGTCGATGTGACGCTGTCGGCGGGCAGGCTGTGCAGCAGCTGGCGGATGGTGCTGCTGTAGTTGTCCTCAAACCTGAGCCGGGCCCAGGCGATGCAGGCCTCAAACGACAGAGGGCGCTGGTCGACGAGGTACTGCTTGATCTGCTCGAGCTGCTCGCGCTGGCCCGAGCCGCTCTTGAGCGTCGTCTCGAGGTAGTCGGCGTTGGAGAGGTACTGGTTGACGTTCTCGGCAGGCTTAAGGAAGAAGTCGTCAAACTGCTCGCGCGCCCACTGGATCGTGTGCTCGATGGCGTTGGGGAAGTTCTTGAGCGTGCACACCGGGATCGACTTCTCCGGCGGGTCCTGCGACGACGAGTAGGACTCGGTCAGGTGCGGGATCACCACCTGCGTGTTGGCCTTGGTGCCCAGCGTGCCGGACTCGAGCAGCGGCTTCTCGTAGTAGACGCAGCGGCGGTCCATGTACTGGCGGGCCTGGACGTTGTCGAGCGCGTTGGTGACGCCCGTCAGCTGGTCGAAGAAGGCGTCGCCGTAGATGTCCTCGGTCTCGGGGCCGACGCGGTTCTGGTGGCTGTGGATCTTGCCCTTGAGGTCCGGGTTCATCTCGGCCACGGCGGCGGCGGCCGTGTCGGCCTTGAAGTGGCCCACATCCTTGCTGCGGAAGAGGAACTGGCGGTTGAGGTTGCTCTTCTCGATCGTGTCCATGTCGGTGACGTGGATGGTGCCGTCGGGCCCGCTGCCGAGGCCCATCATGCTCCAGTTCTTGAGCATCTCGCAGCCAATGGCGCCGGAGCCGACGAGGAACTGGCGCGTGTTGGCAATCTTGTCCTGGAAGGTGCGGCCCAGCACGGCAATCTGGCCGTCGTAGCGCGAGCCGAGCGGGGCGAACTCGGACTCGGGCAGCTCGGGCACCGACGAGGGCAGCGACTCGAGCGAGTCGACGTACATGTGCTGGACCAGCGGGTGGAACTTGCCCGAGCACGCCTTGAGCGCCTCCTGCGCCACAAAGCCGCCGACGAACGCGACCATCGGCGAGAGGTCGCCAGAGGCCTGGAAGGCGAGCTCGCGCACCACCTTTTCCGGCAGGTCGGCGGCGTCCTGGCCCGAAGCCTGGAAGATGGACTTGGTCAGCTCCAGGACGGCGTCGGCATCCTCGGCGTTGCGCGGGCGCGGCAGCCGGCCCTGCTTCTGGCTGAAGGCCGACAGCGCCTGGAAGCCGGCGTGCAGCGCGGCGGGGCGGTCGAACTTGGCAAAGTCCGAGACGAGGAACTCGGGCTGCTTGGCGCTCTCGCGGAGCGACTTGAACGCGATCTTCTTGGGCATCTTGACCTGGGTAAAGGTACCGCCGCGCTTGTACTCGCCGAGGCCGGTGGTGTCGCCGATGGTGAAGGTGTAGGGGCCCTTGACCGTCACCTTTCTCGGCTCGCAGCCGTTGAGGCCGTCCATGCCCTGCACCTCGCTAAAGGTGACATAGTCACCGTCCTCGAGGCCGTGCCTGGTCTCGTCGAGGGTGGTGACGAGGCCCTCGGCGTCGCTGGCCACCGAGACAATCATGCCCGAGAGGGGCTGCTCGCCGGTAGGGTCGATGCAGACAAAGTCGGGGCCAAAGTCGTTGAAGACGGAGCCAAAGAGGCCGCGCACCTCGGCCGAGATGAAATGGGTTCCGGTGGCGTGGGTGAGGTCGTTGATGCGGAGCTGCTCGTCGTACGAGGCGTCGGTCATGACGACGACCTGGAAGCGGGCGAGGACGTCTTTTGTGAGCTCGGCCTCTTCGAGGACGCGGATGGGCACGTAGGTGTTGAGCTCGGCGAGGCGAGGCTGGGTGGCATGGTCGCGTCGTGCGCCCGAGGAGGCGTCTTCGGGTCGGAGGAAGAACTGGGTGCTGAGGTCGGAGATGGAGACGGGCGTGGGGTCAAAGATGGTGATGCTCTTTACGCCGGCGAGGGCAATGTTCTTGGCGATCTCTGCACCGAGACCCTTTAGGCCGACGACGAGGACGTTGCTGACGGCCATGCGCTTCATGGCGTCGTGCCCGAGCACGTATAGCTGTCGGCTGTAGAGGGCCTCGTCGATCTGGCTCGTCTCGGGCTGGTCGACCTTCATGTCGTCTGTCGCTGGCGCCGACATGGTGGAGGAGAGCGGGCGAGTGGGTTGTATGTGTGCGTGGGTGCGCGAGTGGGGGTGCGAGTGGATGCGCAAGTGAGTGCGAAGAGCGCTTCTAGTGGCGCGGATATGCGCTCGGGGATAAGACGGGGGTTGGTTCGAAGCGCGTGTGGCGTTGGCCAGCGTATGCGGTCGGATCGAGGGCCGGGAAACGGTGGAGCGCTGCGACGGTCGGTGCGGAATGGGTGCGATTGACCGACGCAAGGACGGTGCGGCTGGAGAAGATGTGTGCTGTACGTTGACCCGGTGCGGTGTGAGCGGGTGTGCGGTGATGGCGGCGGTGGTGGTGGAGGAGGTGGAAGAAGAGGTGCGGAGAGCCAGAGGGGGGATTGGGCCCTCGCAACTCGGGCCCAGCCTGCGCACCGGCCAGCCCAGCCCTCAGGGCAGCCAGCCACCGCTGGGCCACTCTGGCCCTCGGGCTGTGTTGGCCACGACATCATCAGAAGTCGCACGGAATTGGCGCGAAATTCCAAAGGCAGAACAGCGGTTGGCCACCGTGATCGGGCCCCGCCCTCTGCCTGGGCCTTGGATGCCTCCACCTCGGCCGCCTGCCTGGCCTGCCTGGCCTGCTGAGCCATCGACAGCGAGCGACCTCTCCTCGCGTCTCGACGCTGACCCACGGCCCTCCCTTCCTGGACGGTCCAACGACGACCCGCTCGGCCGCCACACACACTCCGGCCATCGTACCAGCGACTCAGGCGCACAGAGGTCATCGTGAATACAGCGGGCACTTTGGGATTCGGTGACGTGCAGAGGACCGAGCATGCAACCAGCGACGGAATAGAAAGAGACAGAGAGAGCGTAGTGTGTGTGTGTGTGTGTGTGTGTGTGTGTGGAAGAAGAGAGACGACGAGAGAGAGACGACGAGGAGGAGAGA